ATGTGTCTCCTCAGCAAGAAAAGTTGTTGACATTTTATTTCGTCATTAAAGCGTATGGAACGCAATATTGTAAAATAGTTCGAATGCCATATACATACATTGATAATGAAATATACTGTATGTTAAGAATCAGTTTACACATGGATAATTATTAAACATTTTCAAACGTAGAAACTCGAAATAACACCAATTATATTATTTTTGATTGATTTTTAATTATTTGTTTTTATCATAATTATGTGCACTTAAGGGACCCCCCCCCCCCCCCCATTCTCGATTTTAATTTTTCAAGATTTTCAATGGGCTGGTAAATCAATACCAATGCTTGTTAAGGTTTGTAACTTTGCACATGTATATTTGAAGATTTAAAAGAGAAGAAAAATAATTTACAAAAAATTTTTGTTATTGTTTTGTTGTTGTTTTTTGTAATTAAAGAAAAGTCCCTATTTTTGATCGCGGGCATGATAACTCCTCACTGGAACGTCGGAATCCGAAAATTCTAACGGTGTTAGAAAGAGTACACGTCTGGCTCTCGTATGAACTAGGATTATTGACTTCGCTCTAAAACAAAATGCCTGACCTTTGAAAAAATATTTTTGGAAAATCGCCGATTTTTTACCAAAAACCAAGTTCAAAAATAAGGAAGTTCTTCACCGATTGGCTTTATCCTAGTTCATACGATAGCTATACACTCCCAGAGAAACGTTGCAAAATTTGGAACCGATTGGATTATTAGTTTTTGAGTTATCGTGCCCGCCATTCGCAAAAAAATGTTTAGAGAAAAATGCGTTTAAAGTTTGAGAAGCCCTTCAGCCGTCACTTGATGCTGACACAATAAATCGGCTATATCGTCAAGAGTTCTTGAGATTTTCACTTGAAATTTTGTAGAGACATTCTTTAATCAGTGTAGATTTGAATTATATCAACAAAAATTTTGACCCCGAGAATGGGGGGGGGGGTCCCCTTAATACAGTTTGAGTCAACCGACTTAAAAAGTTTGAACAAAAGAAAAGAACATCACAGCAGAATCAAATATGATTCAGTGTTCAGTAAATGACAATTAACTCTTTACACATCTCCAGATTTTTATTATAGTATGCACTGTACGAAGATAACGCTACTCTACAGTTATAAAATCAGCACTTTACTATTATTCTGCACAATCTTATCATATGTATCGTGTTTGAATGGAGATTGTGAAATGAGCGACTTTTTGTATTTTCTTCGCTTTTTTAACGCTTTTTGGGTTACAAAAGTTATTTATCGTATCGATAATATTCTAAAAGGTTTATTGGTTTATTGCTTTAACTAGCAATAGCAACAACAACGTTATGCACATTCGTCACAAAGTGGCGACAACTAGCAGTGGAAATTGTATTGTAGTTGTCTGCAAATGCCTTGTTGGTCATGAACTTCTCATTGAGGTGGTATCGCTGGTAACGTAATTACTTCGATTTTCACAAGAGGCATTTGGATGTGAAAGGGTTTTTTGTAAAAAAACAAGAAATAGCTTCTGGGAAGAATATCTCAACAAAAAACTAAGGTTACTGATGAGGATCAGTGGCGAGATTCGAAACTTCCCTACCTTAACCCTCGGTAAACAATATCATACATTTCCCACTAATAAATAGTTGTTTTTATACCCTCCACCATAGTATGGAGGGTATATTAGTTTTTTTCCGTTGGTAACGCATCGAAATAATTATTTCCGACCCTATAAAGTATATATATTCTTGATCAGCGTAAAATTCTATAACGATCTAAGCATGTCCGTCTGTCCGTCTGTCTGTTGTAATCACTCTAGCGTCTAAACGAATTCAGATAGAACGCCAAAATTTTGCATAGAGTCGTCTTTTGTCTGCAGGCAGGTCAAGTTCGAAAACTAAGGTTACTGATGAGGATCAGTGGCGAGATTCGAAACTTCCCTACCTTAACCCTCGGTAAACAATATCATACATTTCCCACTAATAAATAGTTGTTTTTATACCCTCCACCATAGTATGGAGGGTATATTAGTTTTTTTTTCCGTTTGTAACGCATCGAAATAATCATTTCCGACCCTATAAAGTATATATATTCTTGATCAGCGTAAAATTCTATAACGATCTAAGCATGTCCGTCTGTCTGTTGTAATCACTCTAGCGTCTAAACGAATTCAGATAGAACGCCAAAATTTTGCATAGAGTCGTCTTTTGTCTGCAGGCAGGTCAAGTTCGAAGATGGGCTATATCGGTCCACGTTTAGGCATACCTCCCATATAAGGGTACCCCCAAATTTTCAGTATTTTGGGGTTCTTGAGCGCGTTTTTCAACCAAATTCGCTGAAATTTGGTAAAATGGGCTCTTTTTGGATACCAAATTTCTCAACTTTGGAGGGGTTTTGACCGCATTTTTTCACCGAATTGGCTGTAATTTAGTACTTTTAGTTCTTATTGGGTATCAAATCTCTCCATATAAGGGTACGCCCAATTTTCGGTATTTTGGGGTTCTTGAGCGCGTTTTTCAACCGAATTCGCTGAAATTTGGTACTTTGAGTTATTATTGCGCAGCAAATCTCTCCACAAAAAATTATGAGTATAGGTCAATTTTTTCGGATAGCCCCCATATAAAGGTACCCCCAATTTTCGGTATTTTGGGGTTCTTGAGCGCGTTTTTCAATCGAATTTTCTGCAATATGGTATTTTGTAGTCGTATATGGTAACAAATCTCCCTACAAAAAATATTTAATATTCGCCCCCTTTTTGGGGTAGTCCCCATATAACCCCCTTTTTTATATTAAAACAGTTATCTGATTTGTTCCGCATTTGGAGTTTGGTTCTAAGACTCTGTTGTAATCAGTTCACCTGCGGAGGATAGCGAGATAAAAATTAGAACGTAAAGTTCGATAATAAACTATAGCCGCATTTAGACCTAGTCTCTGTGTGGAGGTTCCAGAAGGATTGGACCGATTTTCCCCATCTTCGAATTTGAACTAAGTTTGGAGAAATAATAAGATGGGCAAAGTTTGGATGAAATCTAAATTTTCTGAAACGGATTTGGTCCAAAGAAACATGGGGTCTAGAACGACATTGAGGCACATTTTCACCGTGTTGAAGAGTATGCGCCCTCATTAGCCATAATGCTGAGGGTATAATTATCCATTATAAATAAATTTTAAATAAATTTCTGAAATTTGTATTAAGATTTACATAATCCGTTTTTAGAAATGTTTGTATAGGTCCACTTTTTGGTATGCTCCCTATATTTTCATTTCTAGTACCTGTCAGTATATCTATGGTGGAGGGTATCCAAAGTTCGGCCCGGCCGAACTTAACGCTTTTTCACTTGTTTTTTTATAAAAACAACAAACTGGGATTCAAACTGACTAGGATTTTTTCTTTACATATTTATACAATTATAAAAAATCAAAAAAAAATATTTTTTATAAAGAAACATTTATGTTTATTGTTTATTCAGTGTGTAAACTGCTTCTTGACATACTGTGTATGGAGTCGATTTACAAATGCTTGGTGCGCACTCTCACTTAAAATGTTCCAGACTTCTAAGAAGAATTTCGAAGATGGGGAATATCGGTATACGCCAGTAATTGTGTTATACTTCTAGATCATTTATATTTTCCCATTGCTTCCCTTTGCCGTGGAGCATTGCTCGCCCCCGATATTTGTTATAAATAATCCCCACATTGTTGCCCGCCCGCCTTTATATTTCATTGCAATGTCTTGTGAAGCCAAATGACGCTACAATCATCTATAGTCCATTTAAAATTAATTAAATTTAACAAAAACAAAAATTCTTTGTCACACTTTTTCAAACAGGTTCTGTTAACCTAAACATACCATATAAATTCTAATCCGACTAGAGAGCAGTTATGTCAATGACAATATAAAAACAAGTAAAAACGTAGTAGGGTTCGGCCGAAATGTTTTATACCCTCCACCATAAGGATGACAATTAAATTACATAAAATTAATGAGGCCTTCTATGAGAAAATATATGATTTAAATTCTCAAAATTCTCAGCCCGAAACAGGGGTCCACAATCGATAATTTTTTGTTCGGAGATTTGGTGCCCAATAAAAACTCAAATTAAAAAACGTGCTCTTAATTCCCAAAATATCTAAAATTTGGAATACCTTTATGTGGGTTCAGTGCCTAAACGTTGATCGATATAGCCCATCTTGAACTTGACTAGCCTGCAGAGAAAAGACAAGTCTATGCGAAATTTTCGGAAACTATCTCAATTTCTTCGGAAGATAGCGTAATTATAACCGGCGGACGGACATGGCTAGAATTTTACCCTGATCAAAAATATATATAGTCGGAAATGATTATTTCGATGTGTTACAAACGGAGTGATAAAATTAAAGAAAAGCGTTAAGAACGGCCGGGACGACCTTTATATGCCCGAACTTGTTATACCCTCCACATAGATATGATCAAAATACATATCGTATATTCGGAGGTGCCCTTATATAGAGGCTTTAGAAAAAATTTATAGAGAGATTTTATACCAAATGATAGTCCAAAATATTAAATTATAGCCGACTTGATTGAAAAATGTGTCCACTCCCCAAAATACCGAAATTTGGGCGATACCGTTATATGGGGGCTAATCTAAAAAGTGGATCGGTATATCGCTTTTTCACACTACAATACCTAGGAATAGTAGCACTGTGTGTAAAACTACTTTCCGGGTTCTCAGAATGTAAAAATATATTTGCTGAATATGTTCAATATTAATTCATGTTTTGCTCTAGATCCCATTATCCCGCTCAGTTTAAAATATTTTCCGATTGATGTGTCTTTAATTTTGGTATTCCAGGAGCCTGGAAAAATATCTTAGTTAAATGTTGTCAATATAGATCTATGTTTTAGATGGTCGTATCGGCATATTCTAAAAGATGTGGCTTTAATTTTGGCATTCCGGGTTTTTGGAGCCATTTCAGGTTCTTTCCAATATACAGGGAGAGATAAAAAACTGCCACAAAATCAAACGCCATAATTAAATTTTATTGAATGAAACCAAAAAATGTCGGAAATAGCATTCAATTTTAGAATAAGTTTAGATTTATTCGAATTGGTCACCTTTGGCACAAATTATGGCCTTCAAACGGCCAATGGAACCATTACACGCTGCCCGAATGTTGCTCTGCGGTATTTTAGACCCATTCCCGGCGAAGCGCTTGCTTGAGATGATCGACACTTTGGTGTTTTTTTTTAGTGCAATCTTGCTTTCCAAAATACTTCAGACACAATAGTCCAACGGATTGGAATCCGGAGATTTTGGTGGCCATTGTGCACTGGAAATGAAGCGAGGAACCTCATTTTATAACCACTCTTGGGTGGCGCTTGCTGAGTGCGGTGGTACTGAGTGCTGTTGTTGTAATGTCCAAGGTCTGCGGCCAAAATGTTTGCATGCCCAAGGCTTTAATATTCCCTCCAGAATATTTCGCGATAATATTCGGCATTTATTCTGATGCTGCGGTCGATTAATACGAGCGGAGAACGACCATCGTCGGTGATGGCGACCCACACCATCACCATGGCCGGCGCTTGAGTTCTGGTGGCCAACCGAAGGTGCCCATTTTCAGCTGATCGGACGAAAATATATATGGGAGCTATATTTAAATCTGAACCGATTTTTCCCAATTACAATATGGTTCGTCCTTGGGCCAAACAAATGAGCTGTGTCAAATTTCATCCAATTCGAATCATAAATGCGACCTGTACTTTGTTCACAAAAATACATGGACAGACGGACGGACATTCATAAATCGACTTAGAAAGTGATTCTATGCACATTCTCAAAAGGAACCATGGGTCTATCTCGATTATTTGTGCCTGTTACAAACATATGCACAAAGACATAATACCCTGTACTACAGTGTGGTGCAGGGTATAAATACATATTTTTGTAATTTCGTTTTCTCGGCGTTTTTCTAATGCCCACCTCATGGTGTAGGGTAAAAATCGATTCGGCACGACAAACGAAACCCCGTTTTTACATAGTCAGTGCGTAAATGCAATTTTGTCAAATGCATGCATGTCCAGCCCATTTATATGGTATCAATTGAATACATGTTAAGATAGCTGCAACAATGTTGCAAACAAACTCAAGACGGTTGCATGACACAAACGCACAGACATCGAACAATCTCAGGCTAGTCGCGTTCCATGACCGATTAAAAATGCATAAAAGCGTTATGTATTAACACTTTTGGCTGTGCAAATGTGTGTGTGTGCAGACAAACCGATTGACAGTCAGACATGACTTTAGTCCATGCATAATGAACTCAATGTGCAAATATGGTATGAGTGTGTATGGGGATGGTGGTATTAATGATAGATAAAAGCTTTCACATGTTTAAGGCTCTATATATATAGAGATCACGAGACATTTGAAATGTATTTACACACCATATATGTTGTTCTGTTGTTGGTGTTATTACTGCTGCTTGAAGGAAAATGAAGTTAAGTATTGACCGTCTTTATAACGAAGGTGTTACATGTAAGTGGATTATTGTTTCCTAAACAGTGGATAAAACAGTTCTAATGACATTAAAGAAGTGATTATGATGCATTATTGGAGTGATATGAGTCTGGTCAATATTACTCATGCCAAGCAATAGAATGCTTGACTTTGTAGTCGATTTAGAGTTGTTGGTAATGTAACAACATGCAGCCAGTAGAAAAATATATATATATATATATATGATAGACGGGCTAAAAATAGTACACACGTGTGTCGGTATACACTTTCTGAAGTCACCAAAAATTTATTAATTTTATACTGTAAATAAAAAACCAGTGAGCGGAGCAGTATAGTCGGACGGGGCCGACCATATGATACCCTACACAACTACCACGAAAATCACACTTCCGGCGGTTCTATATTCTGAGCCTGGGGAATATTTCGTGATATTTGCACCCTTTTTATAAATTATAGATCAACAACTCCAATTTCTAAGTCTTGCATATTTTCCAAAATGTTTTTTTCTTGAAGAGAGTTTTGGTTGATTTGACCCTCGGAAAATTGACCGATCATCTAAACAGCCGCTCTAAGTATTTGGTCAGATCCCCTTCACCTTGTAAAATATATGATGTTCTGTATAAAACAATTGTCTCTAAAGCGATTAGAAAATCTGACAAAATTGAAGTTTTCGGTTCATTGCACCCCCTGAATCAAATCTCAACTTCACCGGAAACTATAAGCATCGTCCTTGACCATAATCGGAACTTCATGTACAATTTCAAAGCGATCAGCGCGACATTTCCGTCCTCTAATGGAGTAATAGTAATAATATGCACATAGTCACCTTTACTTAATTACGTATAACTCCCGCATCGGAGTACATACAGCCATATAATTGGAATCAATTTTTTGAAGGTCAACAACTCATCTTGGACATACTATCAACATCTGGAGTATATGCCCTTCAGGAGCAAGTATATACGTCCCAGAATAAAAATTTTATAATTTTTCACACAAAAGTCAGGGTCCATTTGACACGTTAAATATTGACCAATCTTTATCAAAACAGGTATGCTTATTCTTAGCCCCGATCGCCTTCTCCGTGTAAAATTTCACGATGTTCGGACCATAACTGGAGTGACCAGAAAAACCGACAAAAATTTAGTATTTGGTCTATTTCATCCCCATAAATATTAACCGATCTTTATCAAAAACAATAGAGGTCTTCATTTTCCAGAACCCATCCTACATGCAAAATTTCGTGAAGATTGGTCCATAACTGTGGCCTATATCGTGTTTAAAAAATAATAATGGACAGACGGTCGGACGGACACACATGTCTAGATCGACTCAGCTAGTCGAGATATGACGATCGGTAAACTTAAAAGTGGGTCTAGGACCAATATTTCGCGGCGTTACAAACTTTTGGGGCTGCACAAAGCTATAATACCCTGACAACATAGTTGTGTAGGGTATCTATTGAATCTAAATATATAGTTTGTTTTGAGACTCATAGTAAAATTTGACGTATGTCAAGCATTGACACTATGCACAAAAAATGAAGAGTCATAAAAATTTTTGAAAAAAGTACTAGGAAATTTTCTTTTTTGTAAAAAGTTCTGACCTGCTACAACACCTTTTTAAATAAGTTTTCAATAATATCTGAGGGATATTAGATATCCCTCACATTTATGTCAGTAATATTTTCAAAGATACGAAATCTTAATCCGAATATTTTCAAATGTCTTCCATCGCCTTAAGTTTGGAAGACAATTTACAAAGTTTGGATGAAAGCGGTTACTCGAGCGTACAGACCAGACAGCTGTAAATCGACTCCAAATTATCTGAAACGGATTTGGTCCAAGGAAACTTGGGGTCTAATACCGATATTTGCCACAAAGATCGCTTGGTATTACAAAATTAATTTTTTGCAAACCAATTGACAATTTTATAAGGGAGGTACGGGAGAAAGTAAACCAATATGTCCCATAATCTAAGTTTTGAACAAATATTGCGGTGGCAAAGCTTTGATGAAATCGGTTACAATTTTTGGACACCAGCCGGACAGGCGGATATTTGTAAATCGACTCTAAATTGTCTGAAACGATCCAAAATTTGGTTCCAAGCTGCATGCAGTATTAAATCGATATGTCGACGAGGCACATTTTTGCCCTAACAAATAAGCTGGTAATGGTCGAACTTTTTATATGAGGTGGAAATTCAAAATACACTAACATGGGTTAGAGCTACAGGAGAAACCCATGTTGGGCTAAGACATTTAATATACCAATAAAGACGAATGATGGTTGAAAAAGATGCCTGAAATTCTTAAAATACCAAATAGTGGGATAACACTAGTATGGGGGGCTATACACAAATGTTAAGCAAATTGTACCCTATTTGGTAGAAAAAGGTGCACAAACTCCTTAAATTAAAGAAATTATATGGGGGTTACTTTAAAAAGTTCACAAAATTGCCTAAGATCCCCAAAAACGCCGAATAGTGGGAGGTAACGTTTTAAGGGGATCTCTCCAATTCTCGATTTTAAATTTTCAAGATTTTCATTGGGCTGGTAAAAGCATGCAAAGGTTTGTAACTTTACACATACATATTATTCAATATTTAATAGAGAAGAAAAAAATTTGCAAAATTTTGTTCTTATTGTTTTGTTGTTGTTTTTGGTGATTAAAGAAAAGTCATTTTTTTGATAGGGGACATTGATAACTCCTCACTGGAACATCGGAATCCGGAAATTCCAAGAGTGTTAGAAATTGTGCATGTCTGACTCTCGTATGAACTTCGCTCAAAAATTCACAAAATGGTGGACCTTTGATTTCTTTTTTGGAAATTCGCCGATTTTTGTCACAATATAAGTTAGTAAGGAATATAAGTAAGGAAGTTCTTCGCCGATTGGCTTTATGCTAGTTCATACGATAGCTATACAGAGAAACCGATTGGATTATTAGATTTTGAGTTATCGTACCCGCTATGAGTAAAACACTGCTTCGAGAAAAATGCATTTAAAGAGAATCACTCTTGCCGTCACTAAATAAATCGGCTATATCTTCAAGAGTTCTTGAGATTTTCACTTGAAATTTTGTAGGGACATTCTCGAATTAGTGTAGATTCGAACTAAATAATAAACATTTTTAATAAAAAATGGGGGGGGGGGCTTCCTTAAAGAATCTTGTGTCAGTATTGCTACTAAATGTAAACCAATTCGGTCGAAAAACCTGCCCCTGATCTCCAAAATACAATTTATATGAATGCCGACATATATCATATAAGGGAGCCGATGTATCCCATTTACAGTAACAAACCTCATAAATATCCCTCCGACGACTCGTTAGAGGCGTTACCAAGGAAATGACAAATTTACTTGTAATATACACTCACCATAAGGCGGAGTGGGTAAATATGTTCCCAAGAGCGACGGTACATTTTGGTCGATTCGGAACGGACTAATTTATTGGAACTATTTCGAGAAAGGAATAATCGGTCGCATTTATGATCCGAATTAGATGAAAATTGGCACAGCCTATTGGTTTGGCCCAAGGACGAACCCTATTGAAATTGAAGAAAATCGGTTCAGATTTAGATATAGCTCCCATATATATTTTCGTCCGATTTTAGGTAAATGGTGCACCAAAGTCCCTGAAAATCATTAGAGTATCACGAACTTTGGTGTAGCGTACTGAATTAAGTCTAGAATAATGTATGCTAAATTTCAGGAAAATCGGTTCAGATTTAGATATAGCTCCCATATATAGTTTCGCCCGATTTTAGGCAAATGGTGCACCAAAGTCCCTGAAAATCATTCAATTTGCACGAATTTTGGTGTAGCGTACTGAATAAAGTCTAGAAAGATGTGTGCTAAGTTTCGAGGAAATCGGTTCAGATTTAGATATAGCTCCCATATATAGTTTCGCCCAATTTAATGTAAATTGTGCACCAAAGTCTTTGAAAAACATTCAATTTGCACGAATTTGGGCACAACGCACTGAATTAAGTGTAAAATGTTTCGTGAAAGTTTCGTGAAAATCGTTTCAGATTTAGATATAGCTCCCATATATAGTTTCGCCCGATTTTAGGTAAATGGTGCACCAAAGTCCCTGAAGCTCAT